AGGGAGCGGGCTCCGGACTCACCTCAGACTCACCTCCAGCCCTGGTCTCCGGCCGGTCAGTGCTTTAGCGCGGTGGGCCGGTACGGCCAGCAACCTCCTGGCGCGCTGCCTTCTCGAGTCCGTCCCGAGCCGCTCCGCGGTGCCCCCTTTTCCCGGTCTCCGTCTCCGTCAGAGCCAAGACCCTGATGGCCGCAGAGTGCGTGCGAACCTCCCTCGCCAACGCCGCCGCCCCGACCTGAGGGTGTACGCACTCGATTTAGTTTTGCATTTTGTCGGTTATTTTGGGGCCTTATAATTCATTTCTCCTCCTTTGAGTCTTTTATGATTTGTTTTCTATGTATATGCTTTGATTTATTTATGTGTTTTTTCTCCTGTTTCGGTTCCAGGAATTGCACTCAGGACCTTGTGAATGTGAGGTAAGTACTCTAGGGATGAGTTACATCCCCATCCATTTTGACTTTTGACTTTGAGATAGAGTGTCGCTAAGCTGCCCAGGCTGCTGTCAAAACTGCATTTCTCTTGCCTAGCTGGGGATTTCTTCCTCTAGCTGGGATTACAGGTTTGTTCTGATGCATCCGGCTCCTTTATGTTTTCTTCTACTTTTCTTTCTGTGGGTTTTTGGTTTGTGATTATCGTTAAAATTACATAACTTCTTTTAGTTGTAATAGTCTCTCTTAAGCTAATAATGCCTTCAAGACCCACAAGCACTGCACTGTTTTCACGTTTACACTTACTCCTGCTCATGTCTCAGTTTATGTTTTAATTATTTTGTAGTGCTTATCAAATGTTGGTAGTTGGTGTGGGCCGGAGGAAGTGGGGTAGGGGGGCTAGGTAGTGGGAGGAGGAAGTATTGAAGATTATCTCTCCCCAGAGAGAAAATATAAGGAAGCCAAGGCAGGACACTGATGGGCACGGTGCTGGAAGAAGACCATGAAGGCACGAAGGTGAAAAGCAAAGCCCACAGACCCCTTTCCTCTGCAATTGCTATGACAAGGTAGGTATTTTCTAAAGAGCAGTGGAATCGTGATGTCTCACATCGGTATGAAAACTGGGAACATTAAGCATCAGCAGACACGAAGATTGAAGGGAAGGAAGACTAGAAATAGGAGTAAATATTGAGGAAATAGAAGCCTAAGCTTTTTTTCCTTCCTTTTAAAATTTCTTTGAAGACTAGAAATTGCATGCAGGAAGAGCAGCGGTGTGGTGTGGACTTTATAACAATCGTCTTCCTCAAATGTAGGTAAAAGGAGAGAGTCGGGTGCACACCTGTCACCCCAGCGTTCCGCTTCTGCAAGATGAGCTCCAGTTTGCGGCCATCCCGTGCTGCGTGGTGAGTTTAACATCCGTCTGAGTGACATCGTGAGACCACATGTCAGGACACAACACAAACTAAAAGTTAAAACTCTGTAAGTGAAAGAGACAAATTGGTAAAGGAGTTTTAGTGTAATATTTTTCTATTTCACATATATAATATTGACATGGGGTACTGGAATTCATGAAGAACATATTATGTGATCCCTGGAAATTTCTTCTCGGGTTACTTCAATGTACTTTTACAGTCATTTCGCTTCCTAGGAGGCATGTCAAAGTTTAGCGTATTGACACTGAGAAACCCTAAAAGCATTTTGTATTACTTAATAGGAAATCATTGAAAAATCATCATGTTAAAAATGTGTTTTGATAAAAAGTAGCTATATTATCAAACCAGAAACCAAGCCCACTGAGGAGATGGCATTGTTGTGTATTTTCCAATCTTGCTGACGAGTGGGTTGAGGGAAGAGAGCAGCAGTCCTTTATTTATCACCGTATGCAGTTGTTATGAGATGCTGTTGTGCATAAAGGTTGTGCAGAAAGGGATCACACGATGTTTCTAAGTGGCCCATGGAGAGAGGGGTTCATTACCTGTTCGTGGAGAGTGTAGGATAGACTTGTGTCCTTTTCCTGTCGCTTACCATTTGGAAAGGGCACACTGCATCAACAGTGAGCATAAGGGGTCGGCCACAGTGCGACATTTCACAGTGTTAAACGGTGATGATTAGTCCGTAAGAGAGGGTAGGTAGGAGGGAGTGCATGTGGAGCTATGTGCAGAACTCTAAAGCACAATGTAAAAGTGAAAAAAGAGTCGAGTGACCAGTCCAGAATCATGTATGTTTAAAATGCTCACTTGATCACTTACAGAACAAGATGTCAAAAACCTGTAAAGACAAAATAGGTTTGAATGATACATTCACCAGCGTGACTTATTTGATATGTATAAGACACACCATCCAGTTGGTACTGCATCGGAGTTCTCTTGCAGTGCATGTGAAATGTCTGTAAAGGGAGTCACACACTGCCCAACACGTTCACAAAACTATAGTTAATTCTCCAGTTCCCCCATGATCTGTATTCCATGTTCTGATTATCCATATGCTTCAATTTTCCAGAATCACACTGGAAAAAAACAGTGAGTTTTCTAAAAGTACTTGAAGCGTTGGGATAATACTTCTAAATACCTCATTCTCAAGGAGGAGCACCTCAAAAGCAATTAGAAACTATTTCAAACAAGTCAGCTAAGCCCGCCTAACAGTTGTAGTCCACTCTTCACCCTGCGAAATGTGTACTTTCAACTGCTCATATCAAAAGTTGGTATAAAATAGTGCTTTCAGACTAAGAAGCTAGAAAAAGAAGAAACATGAGTAAAAGGGAGAAGAAAGTAAATAAAAGATTTCAAGTGGAAATCAATATAAACAGGGAGAGAAACAAGAGTGCAAGCTAACAAACTCCCTCCAGGCCCAGCAGGAGCAGTTAGGATGGGTGAGCCCAGTGCACTCCTGATTCAGGAGCAGACATTTGAACGTTTCTCCCTTGAGGACAGAGCAGACTGTGCAGTTGTGTAGATGCCCATCACTGCCTTTCTTCCTGGTTTGTTGGGTGTTTTTGTCATGAAAAGCCATCGAGTTTTCTGAAATCACATTTCCTCACCTTTTGAGGTTATCGTTCATACTTTACTTTTCTTTTTATTTCATTAACAATGCACACACACTGATTTTTGTTTGTGACCCAAGTGTGCATTCCTAATCCATGTCCCACTCAGTCCTGATATATACTTTGCTAATAAGCTGTTTTGGTTTTCTAGTATATTGTCGAAGATGTTTGCGTGTGTATCCCTAAGGGGCACTGGTCAGTGCTTTTCTTTTCTTCCTGTGCAGAGAGAGGGTGGGGGTGTGGAAAAGATGGCTACCCAGGTGCCTTTGCCCCTGGTTTCTTTTTCTAGGATTGGGAACCCTTCCTTCTAGGTGGATATTGGATCCTCTTCCCCATCTGATTGGTTCCCTGGGCTGCCATTTAATGGGTCTCAGGCAGCAAGACCCTAGCTTGGGCATGTTGGCCCACATGCACATTCCCTTTGGGTGGCCTCTGACTTCCTCCTGGCCATTTGTCCTTGTAAAGACCTTATCTTGGGATTGAAATGGCTGGCTAGGAGGGGCATTATAGAAAAGGCAACTTCGAGTTAGTGATTAATTGAGGGGATGTGTGTGCATCTAGTGCAGTCGTATTGTGACCCTAGAGAGAAAGAAGTACATATATGTATACAAGTAAGAGTTTTCCTTTAAGTCATGTAGCTGCCACTTGTTTCCTTTGCATGTTATTGCAGGGTGGGGAGGTTATCCTGGCTCCTGCCTTCCTCATGCTTTGCCTATCAGCTCTTCCTCTGCTTCATCTTGTGATTAGAGAGTATTCCTTCCTTAGTTGTAAATTGTTATGCTGCTTGGGCTCTGTGGTGTCTTGCTGTATGTGGTTTTCATGTTTTTACCATTTTTCTTTTAATTGTTTTAAAATGAATTTTTTTTAGTAAAGTTCTAATTCCTTTAGTCAGGATTAGCCAGTGAATCTAAGGGCAGATGCAAAGCTGGTTGTACCAAGATTCTTACTACTTTCTTTAATGAAGACTAAGGAGGGCCTTGTTTTATGCTTCTCCTGCATACAGACCCCCTACCCCTGCACAACCATGTGTAAATGTGCAAACTTAGCTCTTAGCAACCAGGTGCTTCGGCATTTATTGATTACACAGGTGTGGTTAGGAATAGGGTAGAGGGACTCATGTGGCATCTGTGATATCAGCTGGTATGAGCAAGGCTTGTAGACAGGAATAGTCATACTTGTAGAAGGAGCAAAACTGACCAAAGATTGGTCATGCTTAACTAGTAAGTTACTGAAAGCAGTTAAGGGATGGGCAGCTCTGGGGACGGAATGTGGATTGGAGTCACCTGGTCCTCGGCTGCAGCGTTATCTCACCAGGGGCCCTGCAGCTTCAGAGAGCAGTACTTACATCTCCTCGGCAGCTGTTGGTATACAAGCTGCACTAGCCTGCTGCACCATCAGTCAGGCTCCTGTGAGTCGCATAGGCTCTGATCCCACCCCGAGTACATTATAGACAAATACCAGGGGAAAAAATGCCTGCTCCATATTACAGCCTGCTCTGACTTTGGTCAGAGTGGGCTGCCACGAGTCCCCTTCCCACATATGCTCCCTTTGCTGTCTCTAAATTTGATTTCTTTTTTTTTTCAGCTTTAATTGAGTTTATTGGTACATTTTAGGGATACAGTACAGTTACATTCATTGTTGGGATCTTGTACCTCTACATGACAAGTCTTGATTCTCATTTTTTCCCCTACCAAAACCAATCAAGTGATATTGATTCATTACTACTGACTAGTATATATGGATCAGATTTCCTTCTGAATGTCATGTTGCCATCCCAGCACCGAGGATCCCACAGAGCATTCAGTTTTCAAGCCTTGCCTCCGTACATTACTGCAGTCTGTGACAGGAAAGCAGTCGCCTTTTTCATGCCCTTAGCAGTTTCAGAGCCATCGCATTCATTCTGTAGGATTTCTGCCACTCTGGAATTGTCTGGGGTTTTCATTGATAGCACACAAGTGCCTTTTTGGCCAGGTGCCCTAGATGGTGAGCACCTTTCTTAGCAGTCTGAGAGAGGATAGGCCGTCTCATTCAGGGTGTTGGGTTCCAGCCGTGGTCCTTACTTCCTGCAATGTGTTGGCAGCTTTTCCCCACTGTAAAAGCTCCATTTTTTCTTTGCCATGGGAAAGCATCTGGAGAGAAGACAGTTTGAGTCCAGCAGCAGACATCCTGTTTCTCATTGCACTTTCATGTGGAGATCTTCATTTAGCATCTGTCCGTCGCTCTTGCCTGTGACACTTCCTAGTCCAGTTCTCGCCTGCAGTTGAGTTTGCATTTCTCTCATTCCTTCTGTATTAGATAGGGTTTGAGTAGAAGGAAGAGCTTCCTTTCTCCACTTAGGGATTCATTAAATTATTCGATGACGTAAGTGTGGGCTCTCGTATTTCTTTTATTTTGTGGCGTAGTCTAAGCTTCTCAGATTGTTCCAGCTTTGGCCACCGACTGTTCGTGCAGATTTTGACAATATTTTTATTTTTGAGTAGTTCTTAATTTGCAGACTACTCACGAAATAGTGTTCTGTTTCTAGATCCTTCATCTCACAAATTTTACAGTTGCTTGTGTACTAGTTTGCTAGGCCTGACACAGCAAAGCTCCAAGAACAGGTGACCGAAGCAAGAGAAACCTCTCTTCTCCCAGGGCTGGAGAATGAAAGTCCAAGCGAAAGGCGTCATCAGGTTTGGTTTCTCCTGTCTCCCCTGTCCTTGCTTCACATAGTTTCCTCTGTGCTGTGTCCTCTCACGGTCTCTGTCTGAGTGTTGTTCCTGTCCTCATCTGGTCTGCTCTCAAGGACTTGGGACATAGTTGATTGGGACAAACCCATGTAACCTTATTTGTACATCATGACCTCTCTGAATGTCCTGTTTCCAGTCATATCCTCAGGGACAGAAAGTGAGTGCTGCCACATAGGTCCTGATGGGAATCCGTGTAGTTCATAACATCGGGAAAAAAACTAAGAAACTGGTATTGAATAATACTCTTAACTATACCTCAGACGACATTTGGATTTCGTTACTTTTTTTTCTCTTTGATCCTCCTTTTTTGTATTACCATTCCAGGGTGCTGCATTCTACTCAGTCATCAGATATCATTATTCTACTCTAGTCTTGAAGAGTTTCTCAGGCTGTTCTTATTTTTTTCATTTTCTTTTCAGCAAAGGTAGATATTGGCCAAGTATCTTGTACAGTGTCCCTCATTTGGCTTTCAGTGGTGTTTCATTCTCTCTGTGTGTTTTCAGGCTGCAATTACCTGATTTTGGGAGGCAAGGAGAAAAGTGAAATGTCTTTCTTGTCACAGGGTAACTGTGACATGACAGCCATACGAAATCACTGCTCAGTGTGACACTTGGTCAGTGTAACATTTGCCAAGTTCACCTTTGAATCTACTTCCTTTCCATTTTACCTGCTGTGTTCTTTACAATGAAGTCATCAAGCACACTCTGTAA